GTCCTAATCAAAATAAAACCGAGTCAAATCAAATTAAATAGGGTATCGAATCACATTATGGAGAAGGCATTCGTTAATATGAGACCCATGGCAAGATATCCTTCTTTGTAGTCATGGCCACGGGTCGGTTTCGGTCCGGAACCGGCCCGGTCAAACCCGGGCCCGGCCCGTTGACTGGGCTCGCAGTTCGGAACCGGAACCAGCCCGTGGCCTACGGGCCCGGTTCCGGTTCCAGCAATTTTGGAACTGGCGATTCCAGGCCCGGTTCCAAAAAAAAATTTAAAAATTTAAATAAATAAATTAAAAAAAAAACCTGCAGCAGTGCCTGCACGTCTGCAGGCCCTGTTGCGGCCCATTGCCAGGGCAGCCTTTGCAGGCAGCCTTGGAAACGGGCAAAAATAAAAATAAAAATAAAAAAAATAAAAAGATAACCGGAACTTCCAACGCCATCTTCATTCCTGCCATAAACCTTCAGCCCCCGCGACCTCCACCTTGTCGCGACACCAACAGCTGCGGTCTCCTCCAGGTCCGGAAGTCCCTCCCTCCCTCCCTCCCTCCCTCCAAACCACAACGAAGCATCGAAACTCAGGAGCACGCGAGGGCGAGAGAATCGAAATCGGGCCATCATCGGAGAATCCATGGCAGCTCCGCCGGCGATGTGATGATCCGGCGAGTGGGAAAGAGAGCACGCGAGGGAGGAGCAGAAGAAGAAGAAGAAGAAGAAGATTCGACGCGCCGTCCCGCCGCCGGATTCGATGCACCCGTACAATTGGCTCCCGAGCAGCGGACACTCCAGGTCCGGAACCGGCAGGAACCGGAACCGGAACCGGACCGGAACCGGACCGGAACCGGCCCGGAACCGGAACCGGAACCGGAATCGGACCGGAACCGGCCCGGAATAGGAACCGCCAGGGGCGGTTCCGGTTCCGATTCATACATGGCCACAAACCGGAACCGGCGGTTCCGAACCGTGGCCATGTCTACTTCTTTGAATGCATGGACAATAGCGTACCGTATTGATTATAACGAGATACTGTACACTCCCCAGAATTAAGTGCTTACCAGTCATGTACTTGATTCGACCCATTTTGTTTGCTTAAAATGATTCTTTATAAGTGAGATAAGCACAAGTTATAGTCCTCGTTCCCATAAGATTATTTTTTTCCTTTTTCAAGTTAATTTCACATATTGAACTCGCAAGACATCATGAAAATCTTAGAAACGCTCGGAATAGCTCTTCATTGCCTTTGCCCAACCAATAATGCGGGAAGGTTCTTTAATTGTTCTCTCGGAGTAAGAAATTCGCAGAGCAATTAGGATACTAAGAAATCGGAAAAAAGATGCTAGAAGTTTAATAAATTTCGTGCGGTGCTTATTTTGGTGTCAAAACTTTTCGCCGATCACTTAAATGCTAAATCAGAGAAAGAACGGTTACTTAGGGCGCAAATGAAAACCATTGTCTTCCTCGGCTCAATTTCTAGATAAAAATAGATTGTTCTATTTTTATTCCCTATACAAGTTTTTGAGTAGAAAGTAGCATTTCATAACAATATAAAATTTCTGTTCCCGAAAGAGAAATTCGTTTGATAGGTTATTCTTAAATTTCTGTTCTGGGCAGCGAACAGGCGGTGGTGGACAACGTTGGTGGACGGCCGGCGGGAGGCGACGGGCGGTGGCCGGCGAGGGCGAGCGATAAGAAGAGTTGTTATTTCTGTTTCTGTTTCAAAAAGAGAAAAGTAAAAGAAATATACTTCTAATTTCTGTTCCAAATTTATTTCTAAGCAAAAAATTTATCCCACAAATAAAAAATGAATTTGTGTTGCCAAATGAATTTCTGCATGTTCAGAAATAGAAAAATAGAAAAACAGGAAAGCATAATTGTTGTCATTCACCCCCTTAATTGCTTCTAGCGACAAATTTTGGCAAAGAGCCCTATGTGACTTTTTTTAATGAATTTTTAAGTCCGACGTGGCTTTATTTAATTTGAAATATCAATTCCAAAGTGGACAATGGATGAAATAACGTGGCAATACGGAGTCCAAAACGAGAAAATATTAGGTAGGCTAGATTTTCCAAGTCAGCTTTAGGACAGTTCACTCAATGGTCGATACATGTCTAAATGGGGCCCACTATTGACCTTTAGTCCTTCCCTGTTGTTACCCTCTCTTGTTCGTTATTTTCTTTCATTGAATATTTTCTCCCCCACTGTTACCCTTTTCCTTCCACTAGAGGTGAGTATGATCCGGATTGAACCAGTTTACACCTAACTTAGGGACCGACCTGCATAATGCTGGTCCCTAATTTTTAGGATCGGGGACCGGTCCTATTGAGCTCGCGACCCAGGACAAGATTGATCTTGTGGGTCCGGTCTAGTTCCAAGGTCCCGTCCTTGGTCCCAATCTCAACCTTAGACTAACCGATGTTTTTTTATTTCATTTTTGTATTCCTTGAAAGGACAAATGTAATCTTAAAATTTTAGTGTTGCTGAAATTAGAATAAAAATGTGCTTTTGCTTTACTTAACGATCAATAATATGTGGCATTTCTCATTCTTGAATGAGTCTTTAACTCTACTAGAGTCAGAGCTGAAATTGCCAAATTCATCTATGTGAGTTGAATTTTGATCCCATATTGCCACACGATTATATCCATAAATTTATCATCTTTGTTTTGAGCATGAGAAGGGAGATTACGATATTATAGATTCTGACAGGAACCCTAGTTATAAGCTCTGTTTTGTTGATGTCTATTGGTATTGATGTTGAAGTATTGAACATTAACAAACAGAAATTGTAACAGTGATTGTCAATGAAAATGCAAAAAGAACATGACCATTCAAGTTGAGATACTCGGCCTCTGTTTTTCTTAGAATCGAATATGGAGGTACTTACCTTTGATATGCAGATGTTGATTGTGAACGATAATCAATCTAAATTGCTAAGATCTTGAAGACTTCAACTCGCAACTTTGGGATTCATAGTTTTATATGTAGCCTTGTCTTTACTGGGTTGCAAATGAGGGTGCAGATCCCAACAACGATCCTGCGGATGCCCATCTTTGCTGCAATGGGAACAATGAAACTTGTTATTACGGCCGCAATCGTGGCCTTTCCCTTTGCCGCCATTAAAACGAGTGTCGCTACTAGTTTGGTTGCCAATATTAGCTGCATTAGCCGAGCTCTCTACCAATTTTCCCCCTAGTTTGGGTTTAGTATTCATGACCCTTTGACGAGTTTTTTCTCGTTGAATAGTGGCACAAACATTAGTAAATGATGGTAGAGTAGCACTCATAAGAATCTGTCTCTTAACATCTTCATTTTCAAGTCTGATACTAGCAAGCAACTGAAATATGCGATCTTGTTCTTCTCGCTGAGTATACACATCATCGATAGATTGTACTGGGGGACGGTACTCTCGAAGTTCATCCCATTTCCGTTTGAGATTGCCAACATGTCCAGTAAAAGATTGGCTAGAGGCTTGCTCATTATGGGCAATCTCCTATTGTAACTCAAAAATCTGAGAAACTTTATCTTGATGTCCATACATATCACAAAGAGAGTCCCATAGGGCCTTTGCAGTCTCACAATTTGCAAAAATCTATAGATGTGAGGATCCATGGAGTTAAAAATCCATGACATGACAAGATTATCACTAGCTTGCCACTCGATATATTTTGGATCAGTGATAGGAAGGGGCTTGATCAAGCCACTGAAATTGCCCAACTTTGATCTGCCTTCAAGATTGATTGTAACCGCTCGAGACTAGGGGAGGTAATTGCGACCATTAAAAAGGATAGATGTGAGTTGAGTGCTCATTTCATCCAAGCGAGAATGACCCAAATCGTTGGTGACAGATGTGCCGGCCATTGTGCAAAATGAACAAAACGAGAGAACTTAACAGATTATAAAGACAAGGTGCAACAACCAATGAAGCAGTAGGAAGCGCAAGAGCTTGATGTCGATCTTGTTTGCTCTGATACCATATAGCCAGTTAATACGAAGATGGAAGGGACAAAGAAAAGATGAACAAAGGTTTTTACGTGGTTCAGTCGACCAAGAAAAAAGTTCCTTGGAAGCTTATATCCACGGTAGAAATCTCCATATTTCTTACTTTCTTGGGGGATATTCAATCTATTTAAATAAATAAGAGTACAACTTAGTTGCTAAATATAGCCTATGATTTTTATGGTAAATATACACATTGGATCTTGATCCTAAATCTTATCATGACTTGGCAAGTTTATCTCACAAACAAATAGCTACTCATACTCTCCACAGAGACATAAATGAAATTATCAATATAGTTTTGTTGGATGAATAATATCAGTATATTCATATAGATTTACGAAGGTCATATTACTGACTAATATTCCCTTTTCAATGGATGCTAAAATGACTCAATTATTCATATGTCAACTTATATTTTGTCAAATTATTTCATATGTCGAATTTGCACGATTTCCTAAAAACAGAATCTTTATAACTAGTATCACTCATGCCACATCCATCATGTACCTCTCTCTCTCTCTCTATATATATATATATATATCCAATTTTGGAGCTAAGGAGCACGGGAAATGAGGATTTTCTGGAGATTCTAGAGGGTTCATTTCGTTGACAAAATATCTGGAATATTACATTGGACCACGACGGTGATTATAAAAAAGAAGAAATATAATGTGCCTAACAAAGTTGTTTTCCAAAGCATACAGTTCCCGTCGCCATTCCTGGTCTTTTCCGGTTTTCCCCACGCTTTTCCTCCATTGTTACCACAATTTGGTACATGCTTGGAAATGAATGTCAAAGAAAAATGAGTTAGTCAACTAATCGTATTTAAATATTTCGTAGAAGCTACGTGATAAATTTTCAATGATATCCGGTATGGCTAGGTAGTGTGATCCCTAAATCTAGCTAGAAATTTATTGGTTATCTATTTATTTCTTGCCTATATATGTAATCCCTTCTTTTGCTTTCTTCTCCACTCACCAGTTCGCAAGGCTTCATCGCTCTTATTTTCCTTTCTGTTTGGAGTTTCCTTCATTGGTTTTTCTGAGTTGCCTCAAATGGCATTTTTGGATCACGATAAAACATGGAGAGTTGTATCGGTTCTCTTCTTGGTCTCTTTGAATTTGTTGCAGAGCTTGGTTCTCGGAGCTCCTCAAGTCCCATGTTACTTCATCTTCGGAGACTCGCTCGCCGACGATGGCAATAACAACAATCTCCTTACACTGGCCAAATCGAATTATCCTCCTTATGGGATTGACTTCCCCGACGGTGCCACCGGAAGGTTTACCAATGGCCGCACCTCCGTCGACATCATCGGTCCATTTTCTCACCCTTTTCATGTTGGTTTCTGCACACACTTTTTTTTTTTGTTGACGGATGATTTGTATGGTAAATATAGCTAGTATACACTTAATCTTGATTCTCAATATTATCATGACTTGGCAAGTTTATCTCACCAACAAATACCTACTCATACTCTCCGCAAAGTCATAAATGAGATTATTAATATAGCTTTGTTGGATGAATAATATTAGTATATTCAGATAGATTTACGAAGGTCATGTTACTAACTAATGTTCCCTTTCATTGGATGCTAAATATGACTCGATTACTCAAATATCAACTCATATTTCGTCACATCATTTCATATATCAAATTTGCACGATTTCCTAAAACAGAATCTTTATAACTAGCATCGCTCATGCCATATTCATCATGTACCTTTCTATATATATCCATTTTGGAGCTAAAGCGCATGGGAAATGAGGAATTTGAGGAGATTTTTTTTTTGGTCGAAATTTGTGAATATAACATTGGACCACGACGGTGATTATAAAAAAGAAGAAATATAAAGTGCCTAACAAAGTTGTTTTCCAAAGTATACATTTCATGTCACCATTCCTTGTCTTTTCCGGTTTTCCCCACGCTTTTCCTCCATTGGTAGCCCAATTTGGTACATGCTTGAAATATGAATGTCAACTAAAAATGAGTGAGTCAGCTCTTTTATCCGAGACCAATCCCCCAATCGTATTTAAATATTTTGATACAAGTTATGTGCTAAATATTCAATGATATCCCGTATTGCTAGCTAGTGTGATCCCTGAAATCTAGCTAGAAATTTATGGATATCTATTCATTTCTTGCCTATATGTAGTCCCTTCTTTTGCTTTCTTCTCCACCCACCAGTTTACGAGGCTTCATCGTTATTTTTTTCTTTCCTGTTTGGAGTTTCCTTCATTGGTTTTTCTGAGTTGCCTCAAATGGCATTTTTGGATCACGAGAAAGCCTGGATTCTCTTCTTGGTCTCTTTGAATTTGTTGCCGAGCTTGGTTCTTGGTGCTCCCCAAGTCCCGTGTTACTTCATCTTCGGAGACTCACTCGCCGACGACGGCAATAACAACAATCTCCTTACCCTAGCCAAAACGAATTATCCTCCTTATGGGATCGACTTCCCCGACGGCGCCACTGGAAGGTTTACGAACGGCCGCACCTTCGTCGATATCATTGGTCCATTTTCTCACCCTTTTCATTTTGGTTTCTGCATTCACTTTTTTTGTTGACGGGGGAGTATCTGTATAACTATTTTGATCTTAGAAGTAAAATAGCTTTCTTATGGAAATATTCCTAGTTGCTTCCTAAGAGGCCAGAAAGCAAAAACCTTCATGAGTGTACGGTCATGCATGCATGTATGTTTATCATATTCCATTCATGGATATGTGGCATGCTTAAAACTTTACGAGTATTTGAAAGTGGTGATATTATTGCATAAAGGTTTACCAATCCGATGCAATATAATTTTCTCTTAAGATGTGTTATCTAGCTGAGGAGATATGCACACGATATGCATATACATATCAGTGAGTTCTCATATGAAGCTGCAGTTAATCTTCTTCCTTTCTTTATTGGAGCTACGTGCAAATGCCAAACTACACCAGAATGGAATCGAACTTTCTCAATTGAGTATAGGCCTACGGTTTAGAAAAATTTCCCCTACTTCTTTACAATAATAAAGAATTAAGTTCAGTTTCCTAATTAGGTTTAGGAACATAATTAGGTTAGTTGATTATAGCCAGCCAAGATGCCGTTAATTTAGTTACCCGCACAAATTACTTCAATTTATATGGTCAATTGAGAGCGCACGTTCATGGGCTTGAGCTTATGCATGCAAAGCTAGCTCTAATTCAGGATCTTTCTCATTGAAAATACAGCTCAACTCCTCAGATTTGACAAGTTTATTCCACCCTTTGCCACTGCAAGAGGCAAGGAAGTACTCCAAGGTGTGAATTATGCATCCGGTTCAGCCGGCATTCGCAATGAAACGGGACAGCAACTGGTAATGCCTATGTTTTTTGTATGTTGCAGATAATTACTCGAACCGATAATATGCGTTCATTTTCTTTGTTCATGTTTAGCCCCCTAGTGCACAGATTTTTTAAGATGGGAGCAAATACTAGGTTGAGTTGACTTCTAATCATGGAGCATTTAAGTTAAATACCTTTCACCTTCTTCAACCAGGGCGATCGAATCAGCTTGAACCGTCAGCTGGGAAATCATTTGATCACGGTCTCGCGCGTCAAAGGAATACTGGGGAGGAATGCTTCGGCGTACTTAAACGAGTGCATATACACAGTGGGAATGGGGAGCAATGACTATATTAACAACTACTTCATGCCCGACATATACCCGACTAGCAGGATGTACACGCCTGAGCAATACGCCGATGTATTAATCAAGCAATACAAACAACAGTTGAAGGTACATGTCTATTATGCAACACATCGAACCTTGACACAATCAAGCACCATGCAACTTGCAAACAACCCTTTCTTGGCTATCTCCAGTATTACTCCATGGCTTTTTCTCTCTTTTTGGAACTTACTCATTGTCTATTTCTTTTGATTCAACCGACTTCCACGACACTTCATTTTTTACTGTAAAATATCCATGGTTTTTCGTAGATAACTTATTATTATCCTTGAATCTAATTATCGTATTGTTTTTTCTCTTTCCAAAACCTTAGACATTGTATCTCTATGGAGCGAGGAAGGTGGCAGTTATTGGATTGGGTTTAATAGGATGCACCCCCGCAGAAATAAAAAGATTTGGCACGAATGGCTCGGTATGCGTTGACAAGATCAACAATGCTGCTATCTTGTTCAATAATCGGCTCCAACCACTCATAGTTGAATTCAATAGCAACCTCTCGGATGCTAACTTCACCTACATAAACGCTTTCGCAATCTCAACCACTGGTCCTGGCACAGGTTCTCTCTCTCTCTCTCTGGGATCAATGCACTATGGTATGATCATTTTACATGACATGTTTTGTCTTAATTTGTTTAATTATCAGCTGGCCTAATTTCGAATGCGACCTGCTGTAAAGTGGATGAGGAACTGGGCACTTGCGTTCCCTTCAAAACTCCATGCTCGAACAGGTCGTCATATGTGTTCTACGACGACTTCCATCCCACGGAGGTAGTGAATTTGGGGTTTGCTGCGAGAGCATACAATGCTTTGCTTCCATCCGATGCCTCCCCTTACGACATTCGAAAACTCGCGATGATCTGACCAAGGAGATTGGGATAATATCGGTCACTGCCGAAGCAGTTTTCTACACGGCTGCTAGTGTCTAAACGTATACGCTATTGAATAAAATCACCAGGATAATTCCAGTAAAATAAGGAGACTGCTATTTGAGAATAAGAGCTTCTGCATATGTCATACCATATAATATCTTCTGTGTTAGAGATATAGATATATTTAGGAGATTTTGTCTTGATTCTGATTTGATGTAATTGATTTTTTTTATTTGTTACTTTAGATAGTTAACCTCTAAAGCCTATAAATAGGCACATGTACTTGTCATTAGCAATGTACAGAATATTACATTTTTCTGTCACTACAATTCTCAACTTTCTGTATATCCATCCGTATCTCTATTCGTCTCACTTTCGATTTTAGGAGCATCAGTTAACGAACGCCATTAGGATGGAGTTGGCTTTAAGAACAATTATGTTATGAATAATGAAGAACATTGCGAATGAAGAAATGATTAAAGGGGAAAGTCCACCGATAGAATAGCTACCAACAAAATTAAGAATTCAAGCCCAGAAGTTCCCGAATAAATCGAGTCCAACCTCGGGAATATCAGATCTACACGACTTTTGGAAAGGGGAAAAAAGAACTTCTTCATGCATATTATATATGCACATTATTTCATCTTATAAGAACATACATGATGGGCTTGAATTTCAAAGATTTTCTCCAATGGGGACAAACAAACTTAAAGGAGGGCGGAGAGATGTACGGCATTGACATATGCGAAACGATAGGGGCTATATAATATTTCCATTTTAATGATAGTCTGTACATTTGAGAAATCGTATTCAATTTATCCATAATAATTAACATTTATAAAGGCGCATATAAGCCCTATTGGTTGCGCATAGCGCACGCATGATAGCTAACGCTAAAATAAATAGGTCAAAAAGGGACGTAGACAAATCTCATCCCATTATAAATATCTTTAAATTTTATTTATACGGCATCTAGAAAGAAAAATGGAGCAACGTTTTATTCTCTTCTTATTGTTTGTAAACGAAAATGACCTACTTAATCACGGGTTTAAACTATTAAATTATGCATGTGATCTAGGGGTGATCGGTTCCAGGGTGGGTTGGGTCCAGACCTGGAATCTGGAACTTGAAACCAATCCTGTTATAACCGGTTTTCAATTTTTGGAACCTGAAACCAACCCTGTTTTCCCTGGACCCTGTTTTGGAACCGACCCTGTTTTTCCGGTCCGATTTCAGGGTCTACCCGAGAACCTGTTTTTTCTTTTTGTTCCTTTTTCCGGTTTCATTTTTTTCCAGCAAAATAATATAGGTAACAATGAAACGATTCAAAGTAAAAGATGAATAACAAAAATCACTATCCGCCAAAAGTAACAATCCCCAAAATGAGCAAGTGAAATTACAATACATCAAAATCAACAATCCAAAAGCATTATGTGGTAAGACATAGTCCAATCGCATAAATATTTAAGAGTCACATTTCCAGGGAATTGTTCAACATGTTTAGCTCTTTATTTTGTGCCATGATGAGAGAACTCCTTATTTCTGTTTCCGAATGAAATATCCTGAAAGAAAAATCAAGAGACTTACCAGTAAAGCATCAGCTCTCACTAGAGAAATGTTTATATATCTCATATGAATCACACAATATTTAGATGACTTTAAGGGCCGTGCTGTTTCGCTCATAGTTGTGAAACATATCTCAATATTAAACCGGAAACTGGTTCTAAAACCGGTGAAGTAGGGTAACGTGATCTAGGGTTTTTACTTTTTTTTACATTATCTCAAAACCGGTTCTAAAACCGGTTCGGGTTGATTTTTACTTGGAACCGGAAACCGGACCGGTTCTAACCAATTCCCAAAAAATGGAATCGGTACCCGGACCGGTTCTTGTTAGAACCGGTTCCCGGACCTATTTTTCGGGTGGGCCGGTCCGGTTTCCGGGTAAACCCGGTCCGGTTGCACACCCCTAATGTGATCATACTAAATAGTATTCTTTATTGCCAAGATTATTCTTAGGCCTGGCTATAGTTCCAATCACCATCACTAAATTCATTTCTTTGGATTGTGTTATGTAGTCCCCTTCTTGCTTTCCGTTCTACTCACTCATCGCCAGTCACCAATCACTTCCGGCTTAAAAGCTCTCGTTGCCCTTCTTTTGAGTTGCTGCTTGGTTATCACAAAATAGAATCATAGGTGGGTATAAAACTCTGGAGAGATGTAATCATAACAAACGTAAAACTGTATGGGTTAGGCTGGAGACCACTGATACGTGACAAAGTCCCAAAACGAGTTGAGGGCTGAGATTCTCGGGTTGATCGATGAACGAGAGCTCTTTCCTAGCAAGATCAGGAATTAAAGTAGGTTTGCCTTGATTAGGAGTGTCTCTCCCATTTCTCTGGTTCTCATCAATCACCAAATCATCCGAAACAATCGGTTAGGGAGCAAATTCCACATCGAATTCACTATAATAATCGTTGTTAGTATTGTCACCACTATTCTCCCCTTGAATTTGATCCCTAGAGGGAAAATAGAGTGAGTTTTATCAAACGTGACATCCAGAGAAATAAGCATTTTTTTGGTGGAGGGATCAAAGCATTTATAACCCTTTTTAACTCTTGAATATCCCAAAAAAATGCATTTGAGTGCACGAGGATCTAATTTACTTCCTGATGAAGTGTGAGCATAGCACCCACTACCGAATACACAGAGATGAGAGAGATTAATCGATCAGTCAAGGAGCACTTCCATAGGAGATTTGTATTGCAAAACCTTGCTAGGAAAACGATTGATCAAATAGCAACTTGTTAGAACATTATCTGACCAAAAATGTTGAGGTAAGTTTCCATGAGACAAAAGGAATCGTGTTACCTCAAGGAGATGACGGTTTTCCTCTCCACAACCCCATTTTGTTGGGGAGTCTTAACACATGAAGTCTAGTGCACAAAACCTAGACTTTTGAGAAAAGACTCAAAAATGTGATTGGTGTATTCATTCCCATTCACTACTCAATGTCCTAATCTAAGCACCATACTGCGTATGGATCATTCGAGTAAATTCCTTGAAAACTATCAATATTTCAATTTTAGAGGTAAGCAAATACATCATAGTAGTTCGAGATTTATCATCTATAAACGTAATAAAGTACTTAAAACCATCTCAAGATTCAACTGATGAATTATCCCAAACATCATAATGAATCAACTTAGAAAGTTCAGATGCATTATTTGTCCTTGGAGAAAAAGCCAATCTATGCTGTTTAGTAAAATGACAAATTTCACAAGGGCTTAAATTTAGAGAAAAAGTAGGGCAAAAGTACACAAGAAGTGCCATAACTTGTGTACGGCGATCACTTTGGTGCCATAACATTTTTTCGGATCACTTTGGTGCCAAGTCGGAGAAAAAGAGATCACTTTAGTGCCAATTTGGCCGGAAATCCGACGTGACATTTTTTATTCATTTTTTGACGCCGACGTGGCTCGCCGGAGGCTGAGTTAGCGTGTACGGTCAGCATTTTTAATTTTAAATAATTTTTTTCCTTTTTTTTTCCTTATTCTTTTCTTTTCTTTTCTTTTTTTTCTTTTCTCCCCTCGCCGGCCGGTTGCCGGTGGCCGGCCACCGGCGAAGCCTGGGAAGGGCTGGGCGAGGGCGGCCTCGCCCATGGCCGGCGAGGGGCGGCCTCGCCAGATCTGGGCAAGGCGAACCTCGCCGGTCCAGGCGAGGGCAGCCCTCGCCTGGGCCGGCCCTCGACTGGGCCGGCGAGGGGCGGCCTCGCCTGTCGCCGGCGAGGTTCGCCTCGCCCAGATCTGGCGAGGCCACCCCTCGCCTGCCATGGGCAAGGCCGCCCTCGCCCAGCCCTTCCCGGGCTTCGCCGGTGGCCGGCGAGGGGAGAAAAGAAAAAAAAGAAAAGAAAAGAATAAGGAAAGAAGAGGAAAAAAAAAAGGAAAAAAAATATTTAAAATTAAAAATGCTGACTGTATACGCTGGAAAAAAATATTTAAAATAAAAAATGCTGACTGTACACGCTGACTCAACCTCCGGCGAGCCACGTCGGCGTAAAAAATGAATAAAACATGCCACGTCAGATTTCCGGTCAAATTGGCACTAAAGTGATCTCTTTTCCTCCGACTTGGCATCAAAGTGATCCGAAAAAAAGTTTTGGCACCAAAGTGATCGCCGTACACAAGTTATGGCACTTCTGGTGTACTTTTGCCAAAAAAGTAGGATCAATGGACCGTGACACTCAATATGATGGGTGCCCCATATGATAATGCCATAGTTGAGATGATAAGCCTTTATCCTGGCTAGCAACCAAAACAGTGCTCGAAAAATCAAGAGTGTATAGCCCCTTTTGTAACCGACCTTTATCAATCTTCCTACCTTTGGTTTTGTCTTGAAATATAATCTTATCACGAGAAAATGTAACATTGCAATTTAGATCCCTAGTAATTTTGCTAACAAATAACAAGTTAGAAAATGATGAGGGCACGAATAACACATATGAAGAGTTGCAAAATAAATTTGGCAACCGTAATAAGAGAATAAGAACTAGTAAGAACCTTATGCAAATGAGTTATCCAATGAGAACTACCGCACATGTGGTCAGTTGCTCCCAAATCAATTATAAAACAGTTCATAGAAGATGCAAATAGGGCAAAGACATTACCAGAAGTTTGAGCCATGTTTTCCCGAGCCAGAACTTGATTGAGACACATCGCTAGAGGACATTAGTTGTTGGAGTTGCAAGGATATTTGTCCCAAAGATGTTTGAAGAATTGTAGTACTGACCTGACTTGCGACTTTGAAATCCATAGTCTTATATGTAGCCTTGTCTTTACTGGGTTGCAAGTGAGGGTGCAGATCCCAACACCAGTCTTGTGTATGCCCATCTCTGCTGCAATGGGAAAAATGAAACTTGCTGTTACGGCCGTGGCCTTTCCCTTTGCTCCCATTAAAACGAGTGCCACTACTACTTTGGTTGCCAACATTAGCTGCATTAGCTGAGCTCTCTACCAGTTTTACCCCCGGTTTGGATTTAGTATTCATCACCTTTTGATGAGTTACTTCTAGTTGAATAGTGGCACAGACATTAGTAAGTGATGGTAGAGTAGCACTAATAAGAATTTGTCTCTTAAC